CTCTCTCTTTCTCTCTCTCTCTCTCTCTCTCTCTCTCTCTCTCTCTCTCTCTCTCTACCTATACTTCTCCTCTCTTTTTCCTTTCCCTTGCAAACAACATACAAGAGTTGTTGTGTTATTAACAATAGTCCTTTGCTTTAGGTGCCAATGTTGGATGGGCTAAACTGGACGATAGCTTATTTTAGAGATGAATTGCAACACGCCAAGCGTAAGGAGAATTTCCACGTGTGGGAGCCAAGATCAGCGAGCAACTACAAGATGCATGGACAGCAGAATCAGCAGTGGCTCCCACACTTATAACGCTAACTCACGAGTATGTACATTTCTACCCATGAACATTTTTTAATGGGGCTGGTCACTGGGCCGTCATGTGATAGCAGTACGTGTTTGCTTCTTGATTACAACATGGCTGAGGTGCTGAACACAGTACTATCTGTGGTGGGATGTCTGATTGTGCCTGGTTAGCTGAGCATGGTGGTGACGTATGGATGCTAAACATTGTGGAATGACAGACTGTGGCAGGGTAGATGACCAGGAATGTACACTAAGCATAGCGGAATGACAGACGGTGGCAGGGTATAGCTGGTGCGATCAGAATGGACACTAAGACTGGCGTAATGAGCAGGACTGTGGCAGGCGTAGCTGATCAGATGGTACCTAAGATAGCGGAATGCACGACTGAGTTGGAGAGAGTCAGATGTCACAGGAATGGCAGGAAGGAGCGAATGACAGACCGTGCAGGGTACGCTATCAGGAATGCACACTAAGCATGGCGGTAATGGACAGGACGGTGCAGCGGGTAGTGCATCAGAATGGACACTTAAGATGGCCTGTTGGCAGGTTATCTATAATGCCCTATATGCATGGAGATGAAAGATGTGGTTGTGCGTTTGTTTGTTGGTCAGATCCATTCCATCCAGTATCAACCAATGTTTGATCAATCTTATCTGTGATGCATAAGCGAGTTAAGGCAGTTCTTTGTAGTGGCAGGTTTAACCGGGTTTTAATGCATAGAGGCAGTCGGGGGAGCCTTAGACCGAAGGTCGGTAGACCGAGGTCCGGTAGAGCCGATAATTGCAAAGGGTGTAGGCGTTAGAGTTCGTATTAAAAAATAAAAGGAAAAAATAAAAAAATATAAAAATTTATTATACAATAAAGAAAGGTTAGGGTTGGTTATAGGCGGGTGGGTTAGGTTCGGGTTAAAGGTCTACGGTTAGGGCTAAGGTTAGAGGTTAGGCCCGTATATATGGGTTGTATAATGCATTATATGAATATTATGAGGTGGACATCGGTGGTATGTGCGGTGCATTTTCCCGGTTCGAATACGGCAGTCGTGGGTAATGTCACGTTGATGCGTGCCTGGTAAGTCAGGCGACAGATTCGGACGTGTAGCCACTGCGTATTCGGAATAAACCTCCGAGATCGTATCGGCTGCGTGGTCTATCGGACGCTTCAGCGATCTATAAGGCTTGTAACTGGCAGTTCATGAACGATGGACTTGCAACGTGTGTGGTCTTAATCAGGCTGTGTTATTAACGTACGGAGGGTATGGCCTGTAAATATGGTGAACAACTATAATTGCTGTGCTTTTTGTATCAGTATATACTTTTATCTTTTTGTTAGAACTTTTTCTAACACTGTTAAGTTGCAGATAAGCGAGCCTCTTGGCTTAACATTAGATGAGTTTCATTGCAATATCAAACAGCTTGGTTTATATAGTGTTATGGATATCCTAGGATCATCCTAAATCATATGTTTTTGGTGCCTGGGTGGTACGTAGTATGTGTACGGTTTGTCAATTTAGGTCAAACCTATGTCGGTTACAGAAACACACACCACTATTTTCCAAAACATACACATTTGTAACGCACACTCGTTATGTGTATAAAAACCGTTATCTTCATTATTATTTACGAAACACGTGTACTATTTCTACAAAAGGTGCGTGCGCCACCGAACCACAATTCCCCACACTAGTTTGGCTAAACTACTAGTATTGGTCAGACGATACAAGTAGTTTTGCGAACATGGCTTTTCAGCGCGCAGTGTCAGACGTTTTGACCTACTTTACGTGGCGAGCGGATAACGTGGCCTCGGTAGCGCAGTATGGCGGCCGCCGATCCGAAACCCCTCAACGTCCACCGCTCCTATTGAGCACGCTAGCGCATGGCAGCGCCATGACAGGCCGTTAACCCCCCCCCCACACCACCACCATGCGTTTATTAGCTTAGTGGCCGTAGGAAAGGTGTATAACTCTATAACTTCGCGGCGACGATTGATTATTTTAAATTCGAGATACACTTAAACCATGTCTTAAGCTATTGGTTTCCGTTGATCTGAGTCTCACTCGAAACAAAATAGTTTAAATTAATTAGCCAAAATATACGTCTACGCGTACTCGCTGCATTTATGCGTAATGATATACTTACGGCTCACGATTGGACGGGTATGAAAGGGTGTANGAACTACGAATAGCGCTGGTATAACCATAGGCATTGTACTTTCCGGAAGTCGTATCAGCGCCCCCTGTGGAATGGTTATCTGGAACTGGCAAGAGACGGTTGAAGATGGCCAAACAGTGCCATATTCCGCACATTGGATCAATGGTGGATATATGCTATGTCTGCTATGGATCCAGAGGTGTTGTTGCGTACAAAGTCAAACTTAAAATGATCAGATCTCTATCTTTTCTCATATATTTTACTTCAATACATACCTTGTCAGCAAGAACAGGTTGTGTACTCCAAAACTGCCTGGTTTCCTGAATGTTTCCAACTAATATGAAGGTAAATAATGACTAAAAACAATCCGTGAAAGTTTTCATTGATATCCAATCATTACACACACACTAATTGGTACAAATATATTTATAATTCAAATGTTGATAGTCTGTAAAATATATTTGTACATTTTTGTGGCATAATGATGGTCTTTGAGCGGTTTGAAACAGTCATGTGAATGGTGTTTGTATTATCCCACGCCCCGCTAGCTGGCCCGGCCCCTGGCAATGTGATACAGTGTGGCTAGCACGATCGATACTTGTACTCTGCATGCTCTCTGGCTCTATCAGTGGAAATATTTTAGGGGCCATATCCACAGCAACCTATTTGTTTAATATTTTGTATAGGGTCTATGCCCGGGGTTCTATAGTGCTAGTTACTTAGTTCCAATGGCCATTATCACTGATTACAGACTAGCTAGAGTTTATATATTCTTTAATTGAAATTCCATGTAGTTGAAGTGATTCTTTAATTACTTTCAGTAAACATTTTAGATCTATTTAATAATATATTACTATACAGTATATACAGTGTAGAGCTCTAGGTTATAATAGTTTATTACAAGTGTAGGTTTCTATCTAGATTTAAAAAAAATATATAGCGTGGGTCTATGTTTACGGGTCATTTATCAATAATATACAATATACATAAATAACACTTTTTCTTTTGTAATAAAGGGTAGGGCTCGGAATACAAGAAAAGTATTATGTGCAGTGTGGATATATTTTTTATATACATGTTTTGGTGATTTTGTAGTCTTAAAATACTATTTGTATCAATTTTTTAATCATTTTAGATGGAGGAATCTGATGAGAAGGCCCTGTCCCTCGAAGAGCTGTTGACCTGGAGCAACATGGATCTAAAGGAATGGTGCATCAAGCATGGAATAGCTCGAAGCGGGAACAAGCACCAGATGGCGAAAAGAGTATACCGTGGCATGCACTACGACGACAGCACGTCTGGTTCGAGTGATGAAGATGACGCAGTCGATTCGCCCACTGTGACAGAACCCTCATCATGGACGCCCGTCACCACAGACAACATCCCTCCGATACGCTCCAGTGATGTCACCAACTACTTTGTGTATCACAAGAACCCACTAGCTGGAGCTAAGCTGACCTCCAAACGACAGCAACGGAAGGCAAAGAAGTTTGTGGCTGATGAATATGTGAGGGACTTGACTGTTGGACATGGTACACCAGCCAATATTTCACATGTTCGCGCCCAGTGTCAGCCCAGCATGAAGGCTGCACCATACCGTACGAGAGTTAGCATAGCAGAAACCGGAATGGTACAAGGTGGTGAATGTACATGTAAGTCAGGACAGTCTGGTGTCTGTTCACATGTTGGTGCACTTCTCTTGTCATTGGTCAAGATTTGTGACGCGTGTACGAGCCAAACCTGCCAATGGAAAACAGCTCCAACTGGTAATGTACGGTTAGAACCAGCATTATCATCCAACATCAGGATATATAACCCTGAGAAAGACATCATCGCTAAGTCACGTCCATACCCAGGTGTTTACAGTGCAGGGCCAGCAGTAGATGGAGATGCCTTCCTGAAGGACCTATTGGATGGTATGGCTACCTGCAACAGTGATTCGGCACTGTATCTCACTCTCCGTAACACGCCTGGTGACATCACTGACTTCACAGATTTGTTTGAAGTCGACCGTTGTCTGGCGGATCATGTCGACCTTTCCGCGGCTCAAAATCAGTCACTCTTCGAGGCATTCTTGGCGGAGTATTCAGAAAGTGTGACCGAGACCATGATTGAAAACCTTGAGAGGTCAACTCGTGGTCAAGGGATCAACCTCAACTGGCGAAAGGCACGTAGTGTGATACTAACAGCCTCACACATGGGCAGCATTGTGAAGAGGCAGAAGGTGGAGCTGGATGCCCTGGTGAAGACGATCGCCTACCCCAAGGTCATCTCAGGGCAGAAGAGCCTGAACTACGGCAACAAGAATGAATGTAAGGCCCGTCGAGAGTATGCCAAGTGGCACATTAAGCAGTGTGGTAGTGTTGTGGTAGAGGATAGAGGACTTATCGTCAGTCGTGAACTGCCTTTCATTGGTGCCAGCATTGATGGTCATGTCGAGTGTCCGAAATGTGGAGAAGGTATAGTGGAAATCAAGTGCCCGTATGGAACCAAGCAACATGCCTTCAGGAACTTAAAACCACAAACATGTGCAGAAGCCACTGAATTTTGTTCTCAACTGAAAGACGGCAAGTTGATTCTAAAGTCGGAGCACAACTACATGTACCAAGTTCAGGGTCAGATGGGAGTTTGTCGACATGATAACCACTCTATCACATATGTACACTGGAAAATGATAAATGGATATAATCCGGTGGCAATTTTGCGTTTTACGGAGAATCCTGCGAGATACGCGGAATTGTTCTGTCAATATTGAACAAGTGATCCTGACCCGACAATGTATAGGTTAAACGTGCCTTTAACTGCGCAAAATAACATTCTGGAAAATTGATTCCTGTCATGTCAAAACTTGTGTTAGAAAAAGTGTTATCACACATGATTCTTTAGGCGTTCATTAGTTAAAAAAGCTTGTAATTTTGACCCCCATATATGATAACCTTGACGCCAGAATGCGCCCAGGCATTATTTTAATTTATCAACAGATGATAATAATCATTACTGATCATCAACAATTAATACGGGGACTCCAATACACCTCACAGCAACACATAGATTTTTCGAGTCAGTCTACCGTTCGTTAAGTGAAATTAGAGGTAATTTGAGCCGAAGTGGACCTTGCACCTTGACTTTATAGGTGCATCCTGACCTAATCTCAAAAGTAACATCGAAATGGATTCACCATGGGTCAACCCCTATAGCAGAAAAGATGCCTATCAGCACATGATTGTCAGCGCCTATTAGTTAAAAATTCTGTATTTGGCCACATGTTAATTATGCAAATTAAGCTATATTGAAAAATGTTCCCAAAGTTGCGCGTTGTGCCAACAAAGCCCTAAAAATCTTTCCATGCACATAGACTGATGCAATACATTATCAATAAAAAAACTTTGAACTATTAAAATTTCTTGGTTCACTATTGAAAGGATACGCGCCGCCAACTAGCACTATAATATAAGATTATAAACATAATAATAATATAATAATAATAATAATATAAGATTATTTATATATAAGATTATAATAATAATAAGTATTATATTAAGTATTATTTATTTATATTATATTATATTTATAATATATAATAAGATTATAATAATAATAAGATTATATTATAGAGATCAGTGATGCAGTGACAGTGAAATCCTTATACATCAATCATTTTCAACCATCTACTATTCAGTCTATTGAGTTGTTTTCCTGAAGATATTGTGTGAATACAACCTAAGTGAGTAGATAATACATCCCTTTTCCAAAATGTTGGGTTATTTGAGAGTAATAACGTCTGGATCATCACATAATACCAGGATAAACTTGGAGCTTTTCTCTCTGACGTGGCCAAGCATTTGTGTACAGTGGGGAGCATTGAATAATGTCGGTGATCCGATCTTTGTTTACGTTTTTGCCAGGCTTGCCAGGCAGCTAATTTGCGTCAGAATAGCAACTATTAAAGTCATTATCAATTGACTGGATGATGTAGAACCTACTTATAAGTTTATTAGCTACTTTGATCTGTGGAAGGAAGTAAAATGCCTTACTGAAAACAGCCAGACAAATGACAGAGGATGAAGTCTTTAAGACACAGCACATAGCCTCAGCAAGGATAGTCGTTGAGATGAAAATGGAACAGGCTAAGAACTATAGATGTCTCCAAGGTATTGTGCCATTGACGGAGATTCATCTCATAGAACAGATGGCATATATCTGTTTCGCATGGACGAATCTGCTGACTCCCCTATTCAAAAAATGATTGATCGTTAGTTTTATTTAGTGGTTGTGTGTTCTAAATGAACTGGATTATGTTAAAAGTAGACCATGTCCCTTTAAAATGCAAATTTTTGTTGCCAGATGTGAATCTTTTGTTTCTTGTCGGTTCAGCTCATGTGCTGCATAAATGTACCCGGTATCCTCATCATATGTATGCTACTAGTATTAATATTATCATTTCTCCTGTGATTTATTGAGATTGTGATGTGAAAAATAAATTGATATCAAACATTTCAATGTCAGTTTAATAGTGTACTGTAAATCCCTTAATTTTGGCGATCCCTTTATTTGTCAATTGTTGACACACCAAATTACAATTAAAATAAGAGGCCATAGTATATTTATTGGGAGAATTGCAGCTAAATAATGTGCAAATGCCAAATCAAATTGACGCCATTTGACCCTCATTGCAAAATCTCCAATATTAAAACGCCAAATTAAAGGTATTACAGTTTTTTGCACAAGATCAATCTTATGTAACAGAAACCTGAAAACAACAGTTTGTACAAAATTTATTTTTTATAATCGCATTATATAAAAGAACCTGCACCGACAGTACATTGAGAAATCCACAAGGCACATACATGTGAAATATCTGACCTTAATAAAAAAAAATGTATTTTGAACAAATGTTTTGTACACATGTATCACATTCATAAATGACATCTGATAAAATAAACAAATACTGGTATAAATCTGAATATCACCACAAGCTTATTGTGAGAGTTTAGAGTTTTTTTCCACGTTTGATCCTGTGTGAAAATAGTTCAGCCACCCTTCCAGAGATATAGAATTTTCTCAGCTTTGGTACCATCCTGTTGTTCCACATATCAGCATCGAACAAGATTCTTTGTACTGAGAGTCCCTTCCGGGTCCAGAGGACAAAATCGACCCCATGATCNATATGCGACGAATGCGATATGGAATTTTTTTGTGTCCAGCGATGTCGATGGCGCGCTTTTATAGTTGTGATTATTAATGGGGTATGCATGAGGATACGATAGGCACTTATAGGTATGGGACTATACGGCATTAAAAAAAAAAACTACACTAACCCGACCCTAACCTAACCTAATGCCCTAAAACCTAAAGCCTAAACCCTAACCCGCTGAACCCAACCAAAACTCTTCCGTCATCGCTAGTCCAACAGCATACCTCCCCGGACCCCCACCCCCCACCCCTCCGTCACGCAGGCCAGCAGCATACCTCCCCCTACCCCCCCCCTCCCGCCACGCAGCCAACTAGCATACCTCCCCGACCCCACCCCCAACCACTCCGACCACGCAAGCCAGCAGCATACCTCCCCTACGTCCCCCCCTCCCGCACCGCAGCCACACGCTACATCCTCCCCATCCACCCCAACACTCTCCCGTCACGCAGCCAGACAGTGTGCATACATCCTCCCGACCACCCAACCCCCAGCTCGTCACGCAGTTCAGCAGCATAACCCTTCCCTTACCTCGCTCCCCTTCCGCCACGCAGCCAACAGCATACCTCCCCACCCCCAACGCCCCCCCGCCTCTCCCGTTCACGTCATGCCAACAGCATACCATCCCGACCCTTCCCGCAACCTTCCACGTCACGCAGCCAAACGCATGACCTGCACCAACTACCCCACACTTACCTCCTCCTAGCCTCCGTTCAACGCCACAACAGCAGTAAACCTCCCCACCCCCACCCAGCCTCCGTCACCAACCGCAGCCGCACAGCACTACCTTCCCTCACCTCCCGCATCACGCCAGCCAACAGCATACCTCACCACTACCACCCACTTACCTCACCACCTCCGTCACGCCAACAACAGCTTCCTCCCCACACCCACCCCACCTCCGTCCACGCAGCCAACAGCATACCTCCCCCCCCCCACCTCCCGCCACGCAGCCAACAGCATACCCTCCACCCACTACCCCACCACTACCTCCACCACCGAGCGACAGTCGGCGATGCGGGGGAGGGAGAGGAGGTGGGGAGAGTTGGCGGGGGAGGAGGCGGGGGAGTTGGTGGGGGGAGAAGGTGGGGGAGGAGGCAGGGGAGGAGGCTGAGGAAGACGGCGGGGGAGAAGGCGTGGGAGATGGCTGGGAGGAGGCGAGGGGAGTTGGTGGGGGGAGAAGGTGGGGGATGAGGCAGGGGAGGAGGCGGAGGAAGGAGGCGGAGGAGGGGCGGGGGAGGAGGCGGAGGAAAGAGGCAGGGTCGGGAGTCGGAGCACACACGGACGTGCAAACCCGCGTGTCGCCGTCCTGTTCTCTCACGGTGCGATAGATTCTGCTTACGTCACACTCTCGCTCGGTAATTATTTAGTCACCTAATTAATTACCGCCATAATTTAGTTAGCTAACTGCGCGACACTTCACTACGCACGCGCTCGTAAATGAATCCGCTCAAGCTTGCCACGAGTCATTGACATTTGCTTTTTGCTGCCTGACATCGGGTTTTTTTTTATGGTCTCGTTCGTGGTCGTGGTGTAAGACTAGAAGTATGCTGACGCATTAGCATCGTTAATCAAACATTTACTCTTTTATTATCTACTCTTGATCGTTATGCATAATGCACACTGACAGCCCCCTATTAATAGTTGCAAGCAATAGAAAACAACGACAGCAAAAAACACCAGCCGAATGAATAGCTAGTAGAATGAAAGCGGACTCGGCAGCCTCAAACGACTAAGTGCAATTGAAAAGGCCGTCGGATACCGAGCCGATAATGTATCAGTAGATTCAGTGCGCAGGGGAGCACCGCTGCAGGGTGCATTAACGCAGAAACACGGTGACGGTGGCTAGTATAGAAACCGTGGAATCGCAGCGACAAACACAAACAGACTATCGACGGTAGCTAATAGCATGAAAGTGTGATCTAACTTCACGTAAAAGCGTGCTGCACGTTTCCACGAAATAACTCTAGTCTATTATTGACAGCATTTGTCCTCTCTGTTGTGAGAGACAACAAAGCAACAAGCCACGGAGAAATTACCGGAAGGCCTCTATGTCACCCGAGTGGCGTCACACACAATCCATAATGTACGCACATGCGCATTACATTCTACGGAGGGACCCATGAAGCCAGATGCCAGGAAACCCGCCCGTAAAAGCACAAAAATTGCTGTTCTTCTCTGAGTAACAGCAGCAAGCCAGAGGCAGTGGATATACTGGTAGAAGTGAGGCGAAGACACAGAACGCGCTAGGAGAGACAAACACACGGGAACAAACCTCAGCATTGAAGACAACAAGAAGGAACACAACGTACTAGTAACGACGAATAGAAGGCTTATCCGCAAAAGACAGGCAGAGGGTACGGTACTGCAACGAGAGACAGAGCGTCCTGCAAAGGACAAGCAAAATAGAGAAATCTCTCAAATAAAGACAAGAACGAAACCAACCGACCAGGAAAAACCAAACGAAAGGCTAAAGTCCACAAAACCAACAAAAGACAAGCAAAAGGGAAATATCACTCTCCAGTGGAGACAACAAGAAGGCATCCGACGTACGTACGTTACGT